ACATTTCTCCAGTTCTTCGACATTCACATATTTTTACAGACAAACCCAAAGTCTATTCATTTGGCATTTTTTTGGATCCTTAATTGTAATAATATACGTTTCCCAGTCAACCAAGACGAGCTGTATTGAACCTCGGTCAGCCTCAATCCATTCTAGACGGCCTTACGTTGACAACTTGCATTATTCGAGAGATATAGTTCTCGTTGTTGGGTATCTGCAGCAGTGATGGCTACTGTTTTTGAAATATTACTTTTCTTTTCATAAAAGGTTTTCCTGTAGATCTGACATAAGAGCTGTATTCATCCTATTTCATTTGAGGTAAGGTAGGAATGGTAATTGAATTTCCCTACAATCCGATCAGTAGGCCCTGTGTTTCCTGTGAATTTCACACATTATTGCTTTCACGAATCGTATTCCCATCCAGGCTGGATTACACTCGATTGCTACAGCAAATACAATTTTGCTTAATCGACAATCCCAACACATAATGTCATATGGGAATATCCTTGGACTTTCTTGAAATTCACATCCACCAGTGATCCAAGGAGACTCTTGGCTGTCTGGCGTAGTGGCTAACGCGTCAAAGTTATACGCTGCACAGGCACACCTCGAGTTCGAGTCCCGCTGATGGGGCTGATGAGAGCTGGGCGAAATCAAAACTGGATAAGAATACCTTTTGAGAAGCAAGGTTATGGGAAATTGAATGGATACTTAAGTCCTCCATCACCGTAAGCGAAATGTGGTGAATACAGTTCTTATAGTTGGAATATCAGGCAGCTTTTGATTTAGGCGGAGCAAGCAGTTGGTCTTTGGAAGAAGTGTCGTTGTGACCTGTTGGAGATTATGGAAGAGCTTGGAAAAGCTGCAACTTTTCGTGCGGAAAATGAACAAAATGTCTAGTCAACACAGCTCGGATGATGTGATGTAGGACGGATAGTTGATTTTAGCACAATCATAGTATGAACTACACATAACCTTGCCTCCCAAAAGATATTCCTATCCAGGCATGGGTGGAATGCAGTTTCGACCGCTCTTAGGTCTTATCAGCATCTCCACCGGGACTCGAACCACTGCGTGTAATCTCGACACGTTAACTACCAAGCCACACTTCCACGAGTGCTCTTAGAGCATAGGGCCAATTTAAATTTTAGGGAAAGCCAGGTATCTTGCTATATCACATTCTGTGGTTGGATTGTTATTAGATTTGCTATATCACTAAAATACATTACCTACTTTTCTTTTATATGTACGGTTTTGAGGTTCCCAGTAAATCAGATGCATGAGTTGTGTTCACGCTTTTTCGTTAAAGCTGATGAGAGATAACAAAATATGTTTAATACATTTTATATTTCTGATTTACTGGTAGTCTCGAAGGTCTACTTTCAAACGAAAAATAAGTGATTTAGTCGATTACTATAGCAAATACAACATTGCCTCATTGACACTCCCAAAACCGAATGTGATATGGGAAAATGTCCGGCCTTCCTTAAAATTCCCATCTGCCCTGTGATCCAAGGGCATTCGTGAAAATGCTGGTTAGTAGATAATGTTTCGAGTCCCGCTGAGGGCTTGGCGAGGTCGAAACTACAGTCTTTCCCAGCCTAGATGAGAATACCTCTTGGGAAAGAAAGAGTAAGTGAGCTTCAATAGAAGTGTCATGTATATTCATAGCATTGTAGAAGAAGTCAACTATCACTCCTTCCACACCTTAAGTGACCTGGGCTGACCACAACTCTCATTCGGAGGATACTATTTGGCTAGTTTGATGAGGCAAGTGGTTTCATGGGCATGAGTGACCATATTAAAAATAGAGGTCAGGTGAATGTGGGTACCGAGTGGAGGTAGCAACTGGAAGAAAAGAAGCCCTGCTGACTGAAACGAAACCGATCGAGCTGTGTACGTTTCCCTAATGCCACTTGAGGGAACACATAATTGAGCGATATTGGAACAAATGAGAGGGGTAGATAAATGTGTTGCCAGGAGGGGAGAAAAGGGATACAGATGCAGCAATATGACGTAGGCCAGGGGCAAGAGAGAAGGGGGAGCCGAGAATGGTAGAACAGAAAATGAGTCTATATGACCGACTGTGGTTGTAAAATTGACGAGTTGTAGTGTCGGTTTGACCTCTTTTCGTAATTTGGTCCGGTCGACAGAAAGACCTTTTTGGATCTGCCTAGTGCTGCGCCTTCTGCTCTTGAGTAGGCATGGTGACGCTTTCCAGCATCGGACTCTTGACCCAATACATGTCTAGGCCACATCCTCTTGCTCTTCATATTGAAGAGTTGTAGTTCGGTGCTGAGAGTTTCGACCACCTCTGCGAATGCACCAAGTCAACGGTGTTTGCTGTAGCAATCGGCTAAATTGCCTATTTCAACCACTTGTCCCATTACCTCCTGAAACGAACTAGAGACCCACTTTAGATGAGAATATCTTTTTGAAGCAAGGATATGTGAAATCCTCTGGAAGCATTAACTCTACACCTATGATTGTTGGAAAATTCAGCTATAAGTCCCTTAATCACCTTAAACGAAATAGGGTGAATACACTTTTTTCTAACCACAAAAGTTCATTACTTTATCTAGCATACCTCTCAATGCTGGTGTTGAGCTTCTCTTGTAAATGGCTCTCAACATAGGGAATCTCCTACCCTTTGTGCAAGCAAGGGATAAATTGAGAAGTGGAATATCAATTCACTCCTTCCAGCGAATGCTAGGACCATTCAGCCCAGGACCTTATAAGGATCCACAAGAAGAGGGTATCTTTAAGATTTATTGTTGATAATGAGGGAAGTATATTGCATAGGATTTCACCGTTTTTATTTAGTAGCTGAATACTGAAAATATTTGATGAAAAAATCATATGAATTTGTTAAATTAAGATATCAGAAAAATATTAAAGAGGATGACCTTTTGGGTATCAAACAGCTTTTTGAGCACAGGTACTTAGCCTACAAAGGCAAGAGGATAGCAGTAAGGGAGTGGAGCTAAACAAACCTTCGATCTTAAGACTACTCAAGCCATCCATGAGTAGTACATACTTCACATTTAACGATAGGTTTTATCACCAGATGCACGGAGTGGCAATGAGATCTTGTTTGCCTCACATTTTAGCGAATAATTACATGTCAATAATTGAGGAAAGCTTCATAGAAGAGGTAGGATAGACATCAAAACTGAATGCTAGATAAATGGATGACTATTTTATAATTTGCCAGTATGTCAATGATAAATTAGCCAAATTGATTGTAATGTTAAGTTATCATTGGAGATAGAGAAGGACAATCATTTGCCATTTTGGGATGTTTTATGTGATCAGAACAGGAGAGGAGTCGAGCAGACGTGCGTACAAACATAATTACAAAACAAAGGATGGTGTCCTCAAATCTAGGATAATGAACTAGATCGGCTCAAACGATTATAACATGAGAATAGTTATTCTGATGGAAAATAACATTAGATTAATGAATAATCGTTTTTTGAATGGTAAATACGTAAGGAGAGATGAGAAGACCTTTTATTTTGTTTTGTCTTTGCCTTCTTGTATTCTCTCTAAAAGGATAGACGAACTAGTAAAGAAGTGGTGAATAAAAACGGTTTTTAGGGAAATTATGACACTTTCTTTAGTTATGCCCATAATCCAGATAAGGCTGCTATAAAATAGTGTGTTCATGTGGCCGGTTTTATGTTGGAGAGACTTCTCGTCCTATTCGACGAAGGGTGGCAAAGCATAAAAGCGGCTGTAGAGACTGTTGGGTCAGAGCTAGCCGAGCCAATGGCCGAAACTGGTCATGAGGTTGGATGGTCTCAAACTTGTCGTTTTGCTTATTTTTGTGTGTCTGCACCTAAACGCAAAGTGAGAGAGGAAGAGCAGCCGGGGCTCATATTAACACCAGAACAAGAAGACTCTTCTCGAGGAAACAGTGGCAGAATACGGTGAAAGATAATTAGCCAAATCAGTTTATATCTATTCATTTTTTCGTGAGTGGGTTTTCGAGAATACAACTTATACAAATCTATATGTCTATTTGTTTTCGCTTTTATCTATGAGTATGTATAAGAGGTAAACTAGAGCTAGATATTCTTCTTTACGTGGTGTTTGTTAACGTGAGACTTTAACAGGAATGAGACCCATCATCGACATTCCCACGCTATAAAAGTGGAAAAAGAGAGGTTTCATTTATCTTGAAATTTACATTTTTTCCGTAATCCATCGACATTAGTGGCAGTCTGTAGTAGTAGGATCATGTCAAATGACATTCGGGGAACTGGCGAGATCCAGGCGAGTTCGAATCTGCAGGTCCCTCCCACCAGGAGGAGAATACCATTCATGCAGTAAGACTGAGTGGAATACCATTTTATGAATGAGGCCTATTTATAGCATCGTGAACAAAGCAACTACTTATTCCTTCAGTATCTTTTGAGGACTGGAGAAACTGTTATTCGTTCCCCTTAATGAGAGGACATCCAGAATCAACCAGCTTCACCGCTGAATTCGAACCATCCTCCCTCTCTGTCGAGTTGCTCACTGTCATTCCTTCTCTCCCAGTGTCGGCGAGTTGATTTTTCGGTACACCCACTCAAGTTATGCTTGACGATCCAAACCAGACGAACAGCTCTTTCTCACCACACGACAATTCGGCCTTATTTGGTACATTCAAACCGCCGACTCGATGTGTCTCAACCTGCCGCCTGGCCTACAGAAATGAGGACAGGTGAACATCTGAATTACGATTTCAGGCGTCTTGAACACATGACCCTTGCAAAGAGGGGACGAAGATCTCGATCACTTTTGATGATCCTTCGTCCTTGCCACAATTGCTCACCAACACATTCTAATCACCGGCCAGTGAAGCTGGAACATGCTGAGGAGGAAATCTAGTTTAGACGTTCGTTGGCGATGGTTGAAGGAATGTCGCTTTTTTTAAAATAATTCCTACTTTCTAAAAACAAAGAATTCAGTCATACGATGTCGCTTAAATTAAAGACTGATGGAAGCATATTAATAGGCCTTATGATGCCATTTCATTCCTCATAACCATCTCAGCTTAAAGATTTACCCATATACACATACTCAAACACACACACGAATCAACAGATCCCACAGGGTCAGAGGTAAGAGTTGACGTCACGAACCACATTTATAGCATGATTTTCAATTAAGTAAATATGCCTCCACCATTATTATTATTGATACT